ACAAATACTTTTTCGATTTTTGAAGTTGTCAATATTTCTATACAATTTACAAAAATCTGTTTTTCTAAATATGTCTGTTACTTGAATTTTTGTGTGTTAATGCAGAGATGTTCACAGCTTGAAAACAGCTACGCAGAGTGAAGCAGGCTTATAAAGGTTATATGTTTGTTATTTCTAGTGAAACTAATACAAGTAGACATCATCATGTATTCACGGTTAATAGGTTGGCTAATTTCAACTTTTTCGATTTTTGAAGTTGTCAATATTTCTATACAATTTACAAAAATCTGTTTTTCTAAATATGTCTGTTACTTGAATTTTTGTGTGTGTTAATGCAGAGATGTTCTCAGCTTGAAAACAGCTACGCAGAGTGAAGCAGGCTTATAAAGGTTATATGTTTGTTATTTCTAGTGAAACTAATACAAGTAGACATCATCATGTATTCACGGTTAATAGGTTGGCTAATTTCAAGCTAGCTGTCTGACCTACCGAGTGCTGATGAAAGAGCTTTGTTTTGACAACATGCTTTTTAAACTAGATTACTTTCCAAGAAATTTAAGGTCGAACATATATCAAAAGGTGATCATTTTCTTGTTTCATAATATATACTCGAAGGAAACAGAAGTGGAGTATTGCTCTTCTGTAGTGTCTTGATTCTCCTGGGAGTAGACCTTTGGGCATAGCCAAGCATGCTGAACACGTGGTTTAGCAGTGTACAGTCAAGAGTTGGTCTGTGTCCTGGGATCTGTCCTTCTGACAGTGCAAGGACTTCCTAAGACTTTTGTAAGAAACCTACCTGACTTATCTGTCCCTTATCATCTAGATATGGGATCCGTTGGGGCAGACAGTATGCAAATACAGCATAATTGCTTATATGGGCGCTGTAGTGTTTGCGATAAAGATACCAGATCATTCTAGACTTCTGCTGAATGCCTTTGAAAGTGACCTGCTGTCTCTGCCTTGCATGAAGAAAGGGGATCTCGTGTCATTAATACTATATATATAGTTTTCTATATACGTGAAACTGTTCTACGTGGCTTGCTTCTGCTACAACGCAGCTAGATGTTTCTCCTTGCCAGCATTTTGTGTGGTTGGCGGTATCTATCCGAGAGCAGTGGAATGTTACCTTACTAGGGGCAGTGCCTTGCAACTACAAATGCTTAATAATTCATAAAAATGTAATGTAATAATGAAATTAATATTTTCTTTTACAGGTTTCAACAGCAGACCAGTGTCGTTCTTCCCCTAAAGCTCTGATCTCTTGCAATAAAAAGTCACTTTATCTTCCGCCAGAAATGCCAGCTATTCATATTGAATTCACTGAATATTACTACCCAGATGGAAAGGACTTCCCTAGTAAGACTTTTTTTTTTTTT